TCATAAGCAAGAATTATATTTATAAAAGATACGCGAGATCTATTTGGCATCAGAATTGAATATGTTAACATTCCTCGACATCAAAAAAAGCTGGGCTACCTTTCTTCTGGATGGTCTGATCTCTTAAGAGATACAGGAATCCTACTCTGTATCCTTGGAATAACAACAACAATGATGTAAATAAATGAAAACACTGCAGTGTTGTTTGCTGAAAACTGATCTGCGAAGAGTTATGTCCGAAGTCATTACAGCCTGCTTTTCAGGATGATTTTCCTGAACATTTTTAAACCTATCTGGCCTAAATATGAATTATGTATGCCCATTATTAACTCTGAAATTTGGGACCAGAACTGAACTGAGGGATAAAACCAAAATGAGAGCCTAGGTTTTAGTGGAGCTAGACTAATGTATTTCAGGGAAGTGCAGCCCAAAAGTCCTGATCCTGCTTGTTTCTTCCAGTCATTAAATAATTGCTCCCTTTGGTTGTATTCTCTCTCAACCCCACTGCAGTTGCTGCATTACTTACAAAATGAGCTACTTCCCAGCAGCTGGAAGATGAACCAGCTTTCCCCCATCAAACCTTTTCAGGAAGGAAATCAGCAGTTTTCCAAGTGGCTGCCTGCCTGGCTGGATACATGCTGCAGTCTCTGGAGATCTTAGAGGTGTTTGCGGTGGGGTTTTTTTGCTTTCATTTTACTTTGCTCCTTTCTCCTAGAGTAAGTCCCTCCCTGCCTTTGCTCTGTATTGCAACGGTGCTGCTGACACAGAGCCTGGCTGTGAAAGGGTCTGCTGGAGAGGAGCTAAAGCTGCCAGGAGGCACAAGCCAGACCTGCTCTTCTCTGGTTTTCTCTCTTTCAGCAGTTGCTGTTATCGTTCCTCCTGTCAGATCGGAGGGAGTTGGCCAAGCTGCACAAGCAGCACCCCGCTGGTCGCTGCTTCGGGGTGACGGGGCGGAGGGAAGAAGAGGCGTCGCTCCTCCCTAAGGCTCAGCACTTTTTTCCCCCCTCTCACTTATTCTGTACCGCTTACTAATTTGGTAATTTATTAGTATTTCAGTAGTGTGGCTTGCACAGCTCTTTTCCAACTTTGAGACGAGCGTGAGAGCTGCAGTACAGAGATACGGAAGGGGCTGCGTTAGGGCAGCAGGACCCGCAACTCAAGAGCGATACAGATACAAACGTCAGCAAGAAACAGCTTGAATCCTGGCTGTGCCTGTGATGACAGTGTGCTGGCTCTGCCACTCCCGGCCTGTAGTATGCCCTGAAAAGATGTAGTGGAGTAGGAACTTAACAGTAGCCCAGGCTCCCAGGCCCTGTTTCTGCAGAGGAGGTACGTGAGGCATGCCTCCAAGGAGGGGGCAGAGGGGGGAAGAGTCCAGAGTTTTGTAGTTTTCACTCTGCTGTGCATTGCTGATAGAAGTGGGTAAAAATCCGCCTTTAGGAGATCACTCTGAACAGAAGGGTCGTGTCAGTCCTCAGTGGGATGGAAGGCGAGTGTGGGTACCCTGTGTGCAAGTGCTCAGCTCCTCCATGCCTTTATGAAAGCACAGCCTGCACTGGCTGGGGCTGGGGTGCCCGTGCTGGGGACGGAGCAGGCGACTGCCACCTCCCTGGCCGTGTCTCAGAAAGGCTTGGCTGTGCTTACTACTCGTGCTTCTGTAAGGCCGAGGGAGAACTGGGGCGTACGTGGCCTCTGCCACCCCCACTTGTCGCTGGCAGCCTCTTTCTCTGAAGACGGTGCTGTGCTGGCTCGTCCCTTCGGTGGGAAGGACTGGCCATGCTTGCCGGGGGCTCATCAGTTCTGGGGCTGTGCGGGTTGGAAGGGGTTGCTGAAGCGTGGCGTGAGGCCTCCTCCTCCCTCTGCGTTCCTCCTCCACGCTGTTTGCTGTCTCTGCAGCCTTCCTACCTGCTGCTAAGCTGGGCAGAGATGCCGGGCGCAGGAAGAAGCGCTGGTATAACAAGAGAGTACAGCAACGCTGTGCCCTCTGCATGGAGCTAACGGCACACAAGGGGATTTACAAAACGGTCTGGGGGAGAACTCTTTAGTAATTGAATTCTCCTGCAGGTTTTGTGCTGTTGAAAGTAGGATGTACACGGCAGCCACTGCGGCTAAACACAGACCTGATCCCAGAGGAGTGTTCAACCCTACAGCTTCCAGGAGCGAGCCCCTGGCATGGAAAACTCTCTGCAAATGCACATAAAGAATGAAATACGAAACATTTAATGCTAAAATGCGCTAAAGAAAATGAGAGTTTAATACAAGCCGTTCCTTCCTGCCAGCAGCACAGGGCATTTGGACTTGAAGTGAAGTATTCTGGAGCATGGAGATGTCTTGGTGATCTGTTTCCTGCAAGGGGTGCCACAAATTCATTAATACTTACCTAAACTATACCTGAGTGTATGCCCATCCCCAGATCTCTTCTGTTATAGGAGGTAATTATGGGTATTGTTTATGTATATGTTTAGATCAACATCATGTTATCATGACATTGAAATATTTTATTATAACAGCTGCAGTGTAGGTTGAGGACTTGTCTGATGAGCAGTTTGTCTACCCAAGAATCGAGCCCTGTGGGGTTTTGCTTTGTTGAGCCCAGGGCAGAACGGGAATTTGGGTAGTTCGTAAAGTTTAGCTGACTGGCTTTGATTTGCATCCTTACCTTCATCCTTCTCTCTTTGGACATGCAGGGAATGGTTTTCCATCTGACTTCAGTGAGATACTTACCTACCCAATGAGAACTGACTCGGAGTAGTATGAACCTAAGGGTGGTTGTGAGGAAGCAACCATCTTCTGGACTTTAGTTCCTTACTTGAGATTTTCATGTTCTGGTTGATGATCTTTGAACATTTCCCTTTTTTTCTGATGGATATTTTTCTGTACCTTTGCCCAGACTTTGAGTTCACTCTAGCATCGTACCCATTCCCTGCCTTTTTGGTTACATTTCGGTGCTGATTTAGAGGGTGCTAGCAGAACCCTTGACAGCAGTGACGTTTTTGGGAGCAGATGTACCTCTTCTAGAATATCCCAAAATAATGGCAAAAACTTAGACCAAAATAACAGTTTTAAATCTTGTCAAGCTTTTGACAGATGCTATTGCTGACAATGCTTTTCCTCTTCCTCTTTTTCTTCTTTCCCTTTCCCTTTCCGCAAAGAACCATATCCAGGTGCTTAAAGTTGTCCTGTTTGCTGCTTCTGTAGATTTGTGTTACTGATGCACTTGAGGATTTTGATAAGAGAAGGAGCTTTTTGCACAGAATGAGGTCTTCAGTGTCTTTCTCAGATACTACTTTTGCCAGATCAAAGAGGTTGTGGGTATGATAGTGATTCCTAAAGGATTTTTTTCTTGGTTGGAATGCTTATTGGATGCTAGTAAGAAGCAGTATTAAATTATTGTTTCTCCTAAGCCATTTAATTAAGAATCCATTTTGAGGTAATATGGACGCCGTTATTAAAAAAAGAAGGATTTTGTCTTTTGAGTTTCGAATTTTTAACTCTCTTAAATAACTCTCAAATACTGTTGTACTATGTAAAATTGCAGTAGTTTGTCATAAACTCATGGTAGTTATAAGAATTTGGGAAAATATGTTCAGACTATGCTATGTCTCAAAAAAAATATTTACAGTGTCTGGAGTTTAGATGTAACCTAAGGTTTCGGCTATTCCCTCTTCCTGGATTTGCAGTTCTAATTAGCATAACTTAGTACCTTCCCATTTATCCCAACAGTGAATATATGGAGAGACTACTTGAGCCAGTGGCATCCCAAGTTTTTTTAAAAATCTTTGGTATTTGTTTGTTCCTGCTTATAATCTCCCAAAAATAAACCGTTGTTTGTTTGTTTGGCCTATGTTTTGTCAATCCTTCTTACAAACCACCGGAGAATATATGGTAATAACAAGTACCTCTCAAAACACTGGTATGTTTTCAACATGTGAACTAATATCCAAATCAGAACAAATATTATTGGTGGGGATTTTTTTGCCCATTTTGTGTAGTCATGATAAAAATAGCCTTGTTTGTTTGGGGTGCTTGTGCTCCATCGTGACTCAGCAGTGGTCTCAGAGCTGCGGAGATAGGTCAGAGTTGCTGTAATTGGGCAAACTGAATTTCCAGTCCTAGGACCTGAGGTCCTAGAAAGTCCGTGGAGTCCTGGAATGATTACAGCAATTAAGTTCCATAAAGTGTTGATCAAATATTACCTCAGTGGGTGATAGCAAGATGCCCTTTCACTTGTATTTTGCTCTCAGCATGTACAGTTTTTAGATTTTAAGTTTTTGGGGAAAGAAGTTGCTATTTACAGAGTGTATAGTACTTAGTAAGAAAAAGCCCTGATTTTTCTAAGATATTTCTAGCAGTATATATATAATAGTGTGTTGTGAATTCAGCAGTCGTGTGATTTCAGAATTTGGTCCTTGTTGCAAGAAAAATAGTAAGAGATCATGGCAGGAGAAAGGTGGTTCCCTAGAAAAAAAACACAAACCAAAAACAAATGGGGAAAAAAAGGGTGGAAAATGTAAAAAGAAAAAAGCTAAAATGCTCTGGGTGTCAGCCTCATTTATTAGTGTTTCAAGCTGTATCTAAGCCTCCAAGTGTGAAAGCTTGGGGAAGGAAAAAGCTAATTAAAAACACAATACAACACAACATACTAAACCTTAGCCCACACCCTATCAGTTGCTTGGCTTAAATTAAGCAGCATGAAATTCATTTCAGCAATACCATAACAGCATGTCGCAATTCTTTCCCATTCACAAGGTAATTTTCCTTTAATTTGATTGAAGATGTAAGTCTGGTTTGGTTTTTTGTGCCCTGGTGAGACCCTTAGCAAAACCTGTGAGAGGTAGGCAAAAGCAAAGCGGATGGGATGACTTCAGAGGAAGTCATTGCCATCTAAATATAACTTGTCACAGCAGTCCTCTGTGTAATACATGGAGTTTGGCTGCCCACCAGGTTTCTTCAGTGAAGGATTACAAAGCATGTGCTCTCTGGAATATAACTTCTGCGAGATGGGGGCCTGGTACGGAGCTGGAGTACCTGGTACCCTACAGACCCGCAGGGCTTGTTTGCGGCTTATAAACGAGTGGGTAATTGCAAAGCCAACCGCTCGTCTGCTTCAGCACCGTTGGTGAGCGTGTGATTTTACCACATCAGCTTTGGGTCAAATTGTGAGACAGTTCAGCATGTTCTACACAACTTCTCTTTAAAAAATAAAAAGAAATATTCCAGGTTATTGTGGTTGTATAAAACCTGATGGTGTGGGAAGTGCTGACACCACACTAGAAGCAAATTGGGACACTGTGATCATAAAAATCCTTAAAATGATCTGTTTTCTTTAATTTAACTGTTTGAATTAGGAAAAGCGTGGAGTGAAAACAGAGAGGTGGCTAGGACCTTCTTGACAATGAGGTCTCGAGGAAAATTCTGCTTCTTTCCTCACATTTGTAATACTTTGAAGATTATTGTATTGAGGCTTCCTGCTTTGGGGGCTGAAGTCTTCTGCCTGTGTTTGCAACCCAAGGAGAGATGCCCTGGTTTTTTGAAAGTTGAGAAAAATCATTTTAGCCAATGAATGGGAGAAAGAATTACTGAGACCCTTCATTTGGCATTTTTTACCCTTTCCAGTAATGCCAAGTCAGCGTGTATTGTGCAGAAGAGTTGACAAGGAGGGAGGTGATGGCGAGCGTCCTTGCCCCGGTCGTGGCCTCTCAGCCACTTGGCAATGTAATTCTGTGAGTCTCTGCCATGCAAGCCATGTTGCGAGGGCACCAATTTGAAAACAGCAGTAATCTGGCTCACCCTACCTACTTTGTTTCTGTGCCATCAACTTCTGCACTCGAGTCTCATTTACTAAAATAAGGTCCCTTAGGCACATAATCTGTGAAATAGAAACCGGGGGTCACAGCAAATGCTGAGGAAAATTGATGTCAAAAGTCCCCATGTTGCTGAACAGTCTTCCAGGAAAATAAACTTACCTGTTATATCTGAGCTCTCTAATTTTGCCTTTTTTCTAAAGGAATCAGCTGAAATACCACTGATCCTCAGGCACAGAAGAAAGCATGAGTAACAAGCTTGTGCTTGGTCACTTCCAGCTCCTTGTATAAATCAGCTTCTCAGAAACAGATCACTGTCTGTTCACCAGAAGAAAAAGAGAGGCAGAGGTAGAAAATAAATTTCAAATACTTGAAAATTTCAGGGCTTTTTTATCTTCCAGGGAACAGTTTGAAGAGTGTTGGATAGTTCTTGTTCACTTAAGTGATCAAAAACTTAAGTTCTAATACATACTTCTCTCCTTGTCTGTAGAAACAAGGTTTCTCAATAAAAATCTGCAGCGTCCAGAACTCCTAGCTTGATTTGTGCCATTAATTGAGTGAAACTCATCCTTGGCAAAAGGTTGGCGGAAGGTTTATCCGTGTGTAAACCTCACACAGAGCAGGTTTTGAGGCTTGAGGTACTGTACAGGCTTATTCTGGTTTCCTGCTCGGAGTAAATTTCATCCAGGGGAAGGTAGGTAAGGTGGAGGGGTGGAGAAGGTAAGACGTTCAAGGATGGAAGGACAAAATTGTGACTGTCACATCAGATTGGTGAACTTCAGTGAACTGTAAGAGACTGCAGAAGGCCAGTTAGGGTGGGACAGGAGGTGGGTCTGCTTGGGAATCATCTGTGGGAGGTGAAAACTGGCTCGTGAACATAAGACAACGTTCATGGCTTCTCTCAGCTGTATTTACTTTTGCATATTGGTATTTTGGAAAGCTTCAAGCTGGATTAGTAGCCTAGTAGGTTGATGGGAAATACTATGTTTAAATATTCCAAATGCCTGTTTAGATAGTCTTTTTAATCTATCTGCTTGGCAACCGCAAGCTAGGTAATAACAACTGTGTTACTTTAAAAACACCTGCTTGTTCTGGCACAAGTGGGACGTGTCTCGTCCCATTGTGTGTGTACATCCTTCAGTCCTCTGTGGTCCTTGTGTCAGGCAGTTGGTGTTGCTGCCTTTGTGGCTAGATACAGAGCTCTTTAGCAAAGTTTTATGCTGCTTTATTCAGGCAAAACAGGCTACAGTGGGGTATCTTTAAAGCAGTGACTATGTTTTGTGGTTTTGTTGGTTTTGTATGTTTTGTTGCACTCCCCTGTGGCTTTTTATAAAGATCCAAAGACTAAAACCACACAGAAGTCCTGTAGAGGGAAATAAAACAGTAGGAATGATCTCTAGAGATCATTGCTACAGAAGCATTGTTACTGGCCTGTTGACAAACTTAAATTGTCATAAAAAAACCACAACACAACCAAGCAAATGATTTTGGCCTTCTCACCAGGTGCTTCATTGCCCCCATGGAGTCCCAAGGTGTGATTTTTGGGGTGATGCTTCCTGCATCTGACTTCAAAAATGTTCCTAAATCCATGACGATGATAACATACTCATCATTCAGTTCACTGTAAAAGAGTAAAGGCTGATTTATAGACATGCCAAAAAACCCATGATGGCCTCTATGCAAAGGTAAGGGAAGTGTATCTGAGAGCAGTCCCAGGACAGGGTGCTAGCAGGCATAGCTTGGCACAGGGCAGCCCTGTTTTCACAAGGGCCACGTGGTGATACGAGTACACCAGGGAGAGAAAACAAAGCTAAGCTAGATGAAAATAAGAGAGAAGTGGGAATAAACTTGAAGAGAGTGAAATAAGGGGAGAAACAGGAGCTGATCCTCTTCTGGATCAGCAAGTTACATGCCTATGATGTTGTAAAAAGGAATTGGATATAGATGTGGTTTAAAAAAAAAAGTGGTCCACCCTCGTCAGCAAGAATGCTCCATCACAGCCAGCAGAGGAAAGCACCCATAATATTCAGAGACCTGCTGCTTCTCTGTCCAGCGTGTGTCTGCGCTCCAGTGCACTTGGAGCAAAAGAGGTCTCTGAGAATAATGCAGAGGAGGCAGGGGAGAGACGAGGGGCTTGGGGAGTGACTTAGAAACGCACCGCATCATTTCAGGACTTCCTGGCTGAAGACCTCATGCTGTACATCTGAGGAAACGTTGTGGTAGACCACATATGGTAAACACAGATGTTTGTGTAGTTGGCAGTGTGATTAAGTTTAGTTTGGGGGCAATATTAGTCTCTTTTTTTTTTTTTCTGAAGACTTATGGAACATTCTTGACTTCATAATGTGTTATTAGGGACAGATGCAAAGCATCATCTTTGCAGGAGAGCTCATTTAGGGTAACAGGTGCAATTTTATTAGCTGGTGTATTATTATCAGGTGTCATAAAACCCAATAGTAGTAGCTTCCCCAGAGCCTTGGGAAGATCACTCAATACTTGCAAGAGCCAAAGTAATTAGAAGAAATAAAGCAGTGCCTCTGTACTGCTGCAGCTTTAGTTTGGTGCCTTTTATCACTGAAAAATACACCTTTTTTCCCTCCTGGGTCTCACGAATAGTTTTCATGAAGAAGAGGGACCAGCTGCAGAGATTGAAGCAAAATTCAGACTAGAGTTGTTCAGCTGTTGATTCAATCATGCTTCTAACTACAAGCAATTGGAGTAAAACACAGATCAGAGCATTCCCAGACAGATCTTTGCTCTTTTATGGTTGAAGAAAAAAATGGAGTTTGAAAGGTTTGTGTATTGTTCAAATTTCATGGTTCAGACACATTTTTGGAGAAAAACAATGTGAGCCTGTAATCATCTATCTGGCTGTGATCCTCACCTTTTAGTTTGCTTGGGGACTGCAGAGTAAGTGCTTTAGGTGATACATCGTGTGGGAATATCTGAATTTAAACTCACTTTTTGGAGGGGGAGGAAAATCCCCACCCCAAAATGCAAATTACTGATTTGCGGGGAGACATACAAGCAGATACTCATGTCTGTCATTGTCCAGTTCTACTGTGAAAGCGGCAGGCAAACACACTGCAGGTTCTGGCAGCCTCCTGTTGCGAATATTTCAGCTTAGAGATGGCCCAGGGACAATCTTTGGTTTTTTCCCCTTGTGCCAGAGTGCTCCAAGGCTTAGTGCCAAGGGACACCCAACCAGACCTCTGGCTGTGGCAGGAGGGACTCGTACCAGGACTTAATGCTGTTTCCCAGGAAGGGGTGCAACTCCCAGCGCGGTAGTGCCGGTACAGAACTCGGCCCAGCCCTCGCGCAGGTGCTTGCAGGGATGTAGGTTACCCGGCAGTCGTCAGAGGAGCATGGTGGGCTTTGCTGAGTAAGAGGATGGATGTAGGCATGTGCTTCGTTGCTTTGCTGGGTAGCAGGCGAGAATGATACAGCAGCTAAGAAGTGTTCCTGTGAAGGGGACTGGGTGACTTTTGGTACCTCGGCTGGTTTATGTAGTTGTTGCCAGCACAGGTGAGAGATCCGGAGCAGTTTGACTAGTTTGACAATGCATTGAACGACTTATTTATCATTAATGTTAATGTGTAAATGCATTTTTATGGTGAAGAGAATGGAAACACTGATGGACAAACAAGTGAAACATTTTGTCCTTCTTTATACTTCAAGTAGTTTATGCTGTCCTTTTCGCAACTGAAAACATCTAAGCTTTGTCTTGACCGATGAGTGTTTGAGGTTCCAGCAAAGGCAAAACAACATTTGAGTTTACAGTTATTTATAACATAAGAAATTACATCTGTCAAAATGTGAAGAGGAAATTATTAGAACAAGTAACATATTCAATGACCACCGTCTTGGGCTTCTTTTTTAGTCTACATAGATCTTTAAACTGTAGACCTTTTCCATGTGTAACATCTAGTGAATATATACCTGTAACGTATGTTGGGCAAAATCTTGTACGTCTTGCATGTTCATTTGAATGTTACAGAAAAAGATGTTGTATTTTGGCAGTAAATGTATATATTACTAGTACTTTTTTTAAAACCACATTTCTTAGATGTAAAAACACAATCTGCTGAACTGAAGGCAGCTTGAGAAAGGAGATGTGACTGCAATATCTTAAATTCGTGGGGAAAAAAAGAGATCATGAAAAGAAATGTTAGAACAATTGCCCAATTTTCTAATAATTAGTGTTCACAAAGAAAAACATGTTCTAACTACCTAGTAATTTCCAAATTGCTGAGACACCTAATGAGTTGTCTTAA